ATCTTCTTTTTGTGCCCTCATATCACTTTTCCTTGGTGTGTGCACATGAGAAGAGAGAAATCTCTTTTTCTCTCTTCCTCTCTTCCTCGGTAAAGCCATTAATCCCACCCTCAGGACCTTATCTTAACCCTGATTAAATAACATCACATTAGGGCTTAGACTTCAGCACAGGAAGTCTGCAGGTTATTCAGTCCATGACAGTGTTGTTCAGTATACTGACAGTGTTGTGCAGCCATCAGCTCTGTCTAGTGCTGAGATGTTTTCATCACCCCAAAAGAAAACTCCATACGCAGTGACTCCTGATTCCCCCCCTCTCCCAGCCCTGGCAGTCAGCAGTCTGCTTTCTGCCTCTTGGGATTTACCTGTCTGGGACATTTCATATAAATGGTCTTGTACAGGGAGTGGCCTTTCACTTATCAAGATAGTTTTGATTCATGCATGTTGTAGCATGTATCATTATTACTTCCTTCCTTTCTGTGATTGAGCGGACTTTCAATTTTAAGGTAGCAAAGTAAAACGGATATACCTCCTCCGCAGTCAGTAAAAGAGCAAGAAGGACAAGAAAACCAAAACACACTTAACCGTGTTTGGTCTCTAATCCACAACTGTAATGTCTGAGGAATGTCTGTCTAAAGCAGCAAAGGCCAAACAGGAATGTGGGAAGAAGCCAAGGAAGGGTGCCCACAGTTACAGATCTCAAGACCAAGTATCAAGTGACAGTTCTGAAAATAGGGCACAATGGGAATGGCGTGCTACACAGGCAGGCCTTGAGAGCTTCTCTGGTCTGGGGTCGGTTCCAAGGAGGAGCATGTGAGGCAAACACAAAATTGAATGGACACTGCTGAAGACATAGGAAGGGGCATGAAAACATGAAGGGACATTGGGAATTTATTTTTAAAGGAAAAGGAAATGGTTATAAACAGAATGATAGCAAGGATTAGAGAAAAAAATGATTGGCCTGGGAAATAAGGCTAAAATTCCTAATTGGTGTTCTCAAAGAAGGAGACTGAATGATGGATTAGAAAAAAATCATTGGCTGAATGTGATCTGCATAGTGATTAGGGTACATCTTGTTCTTCATTATGAAATGTAGAATACTCACCTACCTACCTCTGCCTTCAGAAATCGTCTTGTTAGAACAGAAGACACACAAGCACAGTTACAAGCTGAGGAGAGAGAGGTAGGGAGGGAAAGATTCATGGTACAGGAAAGTCAGGGGGTCAATTGCTCAATCAAGGTGATGGAGAAGGAAAGCATAAACAGGGAAGGAAAGGAGGTTGGTGGTGATACAGAATTGCAGCTTTAGAAAGATTATTCTACAGGTGGTGTTCAGTGTTTTGAATGCCATGACGTGGTATTTGTCATGGAGGGGAGAGTATGTTAGCAAAGAACTTAGGATTTTTTCTTAATTGAGATAAAATTGGTATATAGTACTGTATTAGTTTCAGGTGTACAGCATAATTCAGTGTTTGCATACACTACAAAGTGATCACTATGGTAGGTCCAGTTACCATCCATCACCATACAGTTGACCCCCTTCACTCTTTTCTCCCACCCCCAAACTCCCTTTCTCTTTGGTAACCCCCCATTCTCTTTCTATATCTGTGAGTTTTGTTTTGTTTTTATTCCATATATAAGTGAAATCAGATGATATATGTCTGTTTGACTTGTTTTACTTAGCATAATACCCGCAAGGTCCATCCGTGTTGTTGCAAATGATTTCCTTCTTTTTTATGGCTCAATAATAATGCATTTTCTTTATCCAGTCATCCACCGAGAGACACTTAGGTTGTTTGCATGTCTTGGCTATTGTAAACAATGCTGTAATGAACATGGGGGTACAGATATCTTTTTGAAAAATTTTGTTTTCTTGGGTAAATGTCCAGAAGTGGAATTGGTGGGTCATCTGGCAGTTTTGTTTTATTTTGTTTTGTTATGTTTTTGAGGGACCTCTATACTGTTCTTCTGTAGTGGCTACACCAATTGACATTCCTCCCGACAGTGTGTGAGGGTTCCCTATTCTCCACAATCTCTCCAACACTTGTTATTCCTTGTCTTTTTGATAATAGTCATTTTGACAGGTGTGAGATGACATCTCATGTGGTTTTGATTCACATTTCTGTGATGATTAATGATGATGAGCATCTCCTCATGTGCCTGTTGACCATCTGTACAGCTTCTTTGCAAAAATGTCTACTCAGATCTTCTGCTCTATTTTTTAATCAGATTGTTTTATGTTGCGTTGTATGAGTTTTTTATATATTTTAGATACTAGCCCATTATCGGATACGTGATTTGCAAATATCTTCTCTCATTGCAAAGGTTGTCTTTTTATTTTGTTGATAGTCTCCTTCACTGTGCAGAAGCTTTGTAGTTTGATATAATCCCATTTGTTTGTTTTTTCTTTCATTATTCTTGCCTTTGGAATCAGTTCCAGAAAGCAGTGTTCCATGAGTCATGTCAGTGAGCCTAGTCAGTGATGTTTCTGATAGGAGTTTCATGGTTTTAGGCCTGCATTCAAGTCTTTAATCTGTTTTGAGCTAATTTTTACATATGGTGTAAGAAGAGAGTGTGTTGTAGACTCTAGGTCTGGAGTTCTCTCTTGTCCAGCAAGAGAGCGGGACTCAGGGTTGAAAATGTGAGAGAGGCTAATACCCAGGAGGAGACAAGAGCCCTGAGTAAGGGTCCTTGCTCCCTTTTTTATTAGGATCAGAATGCTTACAAGTGTGATGGGCATGGACAGACTGTCAGTGAAACCGTGAACTTTAACTCATGGGCTCATGGGCATGGGGAAGAGGGGGTTTTGGAGATATGCGGTGTTAGGGGTTTGGGTCAATACAAGACAAGATTCTGGTGCAGGGTGGAAAGTTGTTTATAGCAAACATGAGGCCCCACCTCTGTTTACCTAAACTAGCCAAGGTGACAAGAAAGACAGAGCATGCTACCTCAGGGTCAACAAGACATCTTTCTTTTGCTAATTAGCTCCACTCTGGGCAACTGGCCCTGCTGTGGTCTATAGCTCTATTTACCTGTTTACCTAATTGGTCCTTCCTTCTTGTGAAAGCAGCTTTCTGCTATTGTCCTATACCTTTGCCCTTTACTGGGGACCTTTGCCCCCTTTACCTAATCTTATTTACCTACTCTTGTTTACCCAAACTTGGGTGTGTTCATCCTATGGCTTTCTAATTCTTTATGCCTTGTTAAGCCATCAGTGCAGGCTCAGGGAATTCCTAAGCTTGTTCCCTGCAAGAGTGGTCCAGTTTCATTCTTTTGCATGTGCAGTTTTCTAGCACCATTTATTGAGGAGACTTTTCTTTCTCCATTGTGTATTTTTGTTTTATTTGTTGTAAATGAGTTGACCATATAAGTGTGGGTTTGTTCCTGGGCTCTATTCTGTTCCATTCATCTGTGCCTGTTTTTATGCCAATAATACTGCTTTGATTACTATAGCCTTGTAGTATAGTTTGAAATCAGGGAGCACGATACCTCCAGCTTTGTGCTTCTTTCTCTCAAGTCTGCTTTGGCTATTCAGGGTCTTTTGTGGTTCCATATAAATTTTAGAATTATTCTAGTTCTGTGAAAAATGCTATTGGAATTTTGATAGGAACTGCATTGAATTTGAAGGTTGCTTTGTGTAATATGGACATTTTAACAATATTAATTTTTCCAATCCAATTCTGATCATGGAATACTTTTCCACTGAATTATGTCTTTTGTTTCTTGCATCAGTGTCTTATAGTTTTCAGTGTACGAGTCTTTCACCTTCTTGGTTAAATTTGTTCCTAGGACTGAGTCTCTCTCTCTCTCTCAAAATAAAGAAACATTAAATTTAAAAAAAAAA